CTCTGCTGTCAGCAGAAGGTTTTCAAGGGCCTAGTGGCTGCTGTTTTTACTGCTGGGTTGTTTAAGAAGGCATGCAGTTGAGAGTGGGTTAGCCAGGACATTTGGTTGTCCCCTAGTTTGTCTTGTATTTATTGTGTTGGTATGCGTTTATTATTTTTGTAGAAGTCTGTGGCAATATAAACCTTTGGCTTGCCAAGTTTTCATTTGGAAGTTTTGGGCTGCATGATCGAATAGTGGGTGGTGGCCCAGGAGGGTTAATGGGGATGGGGTTGGAACAGTTTTCCACCTTTTTCCTTCCATGCTTAAAGCATGGTCTGTGTGAACCTTTTAGTGTTGTGGGGATTTTCCTTAGTTTGTTTTAGAGGAGTTGGTATGGTGTGGTGGGGGTATTTTCGATTGTGTCTATCTCCCTGTTTCCTTTCGTCTTCTAGGATGTATGGGATTATGTGGCACATTTGGTTGGCAATGTAGTATAGTCCTATATTGGGAATTCCCCCATCCTTCTTCTGAGGAGGGAAGGTGCAGGTATTTGGAGCTTATTCCTGGCAGTTTTTTCTGCCATTAGCAGAGTTGGGTTGGGGAAATCCAAACTGAAAGGGTTTGGAATAGGTAGGTTAATTTTGGGATGGTGATCATTTTGATCATGACTATTTAGTCTGAGGGGGTGAAGTTGGACTTCAGGTATTTATTAATTTCTTGCCACAGGGGATTGTAGTTTTGGAGGTTTAGTTTGTTGAGGTTTCTGGTTATTTGTACCCCTGAATATCTGAATATGGTGCAGCAGAGCTTTATTTTTATGATGTAGGTTCTTTTTGGATATGAGGGAGGGTGTTGAAACATATAGCCTCAGATTTTGCAAAGTTCACCTGTGGGGCTGACACCATTGTGAAGAGTGATTGCTGTGGTTGTGAGGTCTGGTGTCATGACCATCACTTAGTTTATAGGTTTTGCCTTTTATTCCCACTCCCTTGATGTTGAGGGCTGCCCAGAGTCGGATTGCCAGGGGTTCCAGGGCCAGGATGAATAGGAAGGGGGGCAGTGGGCATCCTTGTTTTGTGCCTCTTTGGATTGCTATGGGATTGGAGTCCATATTGTTAATTCTGCATTTTGCTGAGGCTTGGGAGTAAATTTGTTTGAGGGTTTGTAGGCGGTTGGGGCCAAATGTCATGTTGGCTAATACTGCTATTAGGTATTTCCTTTCCAGACAATCAAATGCTTTGAGGATGTCCAAGGACATAACTATCAGCGGGAGTTTGGTTGTTTTGCTATGTTCAATCAGGTTCAGTAATTTCCTAATGGGATCTTTTATGTTGCGGCCAGGGACAAAGCCAGCCTGGTCCGGGGCTACTAATTTGTGTAGGAAAATTTTATGCGGTTAGCCAAGATTGATGTGAATATCTTGTAGTCTTGATTTATCAATGAGATTGGGCCGTATGATTCTACTTTGAGACTATCTTTGACTGGTTTGGGGGTTTTGAGGCACTCTTTGAGTGCTAGCAGTATAAAACTTGACAACCCCAGTATTTTGGAGATGAGACAGGCCATTTGATTGTGACTCTTATCTTCTCAGCTACATACTCTTGAAATTTTGGTTCAAAAAAGAGCCCCCTCTGATCAAAGTTTTTAAAGTGTAGTTTGGGGATAGCCCATGCAATGCCTTCCGTAAGTTGTTGGACTCCATCATCCCTGACTGTCATTGTCCATGCTGCCTAGGACGGATGGGAAGTTCCAGATGTAGCAGATGCCGAGACCTTTGAAAACAACAGAAAGGCTGAGGCAACCCAGTTAGAAGGGCAGGGTTGAAATAATAAAATTATTATTATTGCTTTATTATTATAGCTTCAAGGTACTGTAGTTAGCATTTAGAGTAGATCTTAGACATCTCAGATTGCATGTTGATATGGTGTGTAATCCAGCAGTTGGGTCCTGAACATGAATGGAAGGGAAAACTACAGGCTGGAAAGCAGGTTTTAGTACACACAATCATGTATGGGAGAACATGGATGTAGGCTAGAGAAACTTTTGATGGTGTTTTCAGAAATTTGCCTGCTACTCCAGTACACTGTGAGTCAGAGAGAGTGTGTGTACATGTGTTTTCACGTGACTCATGACAAGTTTAAACAGATTTCATGTCAAAACATTTTTTTGCTGATGTAGCACATTGGTGCATTAAGCAGCTAATTGCTGCTCATTTGTTTGTAAGATTGTTTTATGACACCTAGTGGTCATTGTGCTGGTATTTCCGACTATTGTAATTATTACTGGACTCATATTCTAGACTAGAAGTTTTTACTCATAGTAGTTTTGTACTAGTCAGTTTTGTGCAGTTTATGGGCTAAGACTGAGCTAGTTGGGAAGTCCAAAGGTTGACTCCCCCTGCTATGAACTCTCTAGCTGGCCCAAGGCAAGCTGCTTTAACTCTACTTCTGCCTCAGCAACTGTGGCATAGGACTAATTATACTTGCTTGCTTCACTTGAAATGTTCTATATTAATACTGTATTACTGTTATGCATACTACAAGTTTTCAAATGGCAGGAGTCCAGGAGAGAATTTCCAGAAAATCCTGACAATTTCAAATAAATGTAAAAGCCAAGTGAAAGTAAATGTCCTGTAGGCACCAGGTGAAGACGTTCCTCTTTAACCAGACCTTTGGGTGATTATTATCTGATGCCCTTTTACATGTGTTGTGGAAGCGGGGGAATATTGGTTTTTGTTAAGTATTTTGTGCTTTGTATAATATAATTTTATGTTGTAAACTGCCCTGAGATCTACAGGTATAGGCCGGTATGCAAATTTAATAAATAATTATAACAATGATACTAATTCTCCTTTCCATCATCTACAAGAAACAGACATATATACTGCCACAAGTGTGAACAGTGAAAGCAACTCTAAACATTTCTGTAATTTCCTGCTGGACATCATAGAATCTTAATTTTCTGACTATATTTATGCTGTAGGTGGGAAATGCACGAACATTTTACTGTTATTTGATTGATTGATTGATTGATTGATTGATTGTTTGTTTGTTTATATAGCATGGACAATGTATATAGAGCTTTACAGACAAAGTGAGACAGAGGCAGATACAGAGAGAACAGCCCATTCTAAGAAGTTTGTATCCTTTTTTCCTAAAACATATAAATGTTCATATAAAAACATGCACTCATTATCATTGTTACTAGAAGAGAGAAAGTTTCATAGAATCCTAGAATCTTAGAGTTGGAAGGCACCCAAGGGTGCCTTCTCCCCTGCAATGCAGCTAAGGCATCCATGACGTTTGGCATACGGTGATTGGGTATAAATAGTTGGAAAGAAAACTGCATAGATGGAGAACAGTATACACAACAGTAGCAGTTTTTTTTCCCTGCTTATTCTATTTATGGGTTTTTTTCTCTAAATTAAAATTGAGGAGGCTTTCCAGTTATAAGCAGAGCAGTCCTAATCCCTGGACTGCCTTGCTGGAGGGGGTTGAGGTGCTCCAGAGGCTCCAAATGGACCCACTCAAAGCGCTGCAGAGCACAGGCCACCACAGGCTGCGTTCCCACTTTCTGTAGCCAGGAGTAGGACCATGCCTCTGATGGAGCCAAGGCTGACTGATTTCCCACTGATTTCCCTCGTCAGATGGAACCAGCAGGGCTGTGGACGCCACAGAGAATCCTACTCTCTAATGCCAGCTGGGAGGATGCTTAAGAACTTGGAGTCACAATCAAAAACAAAGCAAAAGAGTAACAGTTCAAAAATGAAAACTGTAGTTTTAAGAAGCTGAAAAACATTATCCAAGAAGGCATGATTTAAGGGGGGGGGGAGTTTTGACGTGTGTAGCTGGAAATACTGGAAACTCTGAGCACTGGAGACCTTCTTTTGAAAGGCAGTTCTGGAAGATGAGGCAGGGTTGCTGGTGAGGAGGCTGTGCCCTTGTCTCCTGTGGGCATCATAGAGCAGTATGTGGGACCTCAAGGCCAGGACCCTTCCTGAAGACCAAAGAGGGTCACGGCCTCTTTCTTTAAGCTGCTCTTTTTGATTCTGCATATGCGCTATTAGTAGCTGGGGGCGGGTACCCAATCCATCTTCATGGCTGTGTGCCACATCCCTGGTTAGCAAACCAGCAGCAGCGCTTGAGATTGGAGCTGGGATTGTCTTCTTCCCATCACCATCCTCCACTTGGCCAGTTGATTGGTGCCATCACCAGTACTATGTGCACACATCCCTCATCAAGACCACTGAAATTAAAGAGAAGTTAGTCACTTCTGTGGGGGCAGCTTCTGAACAGGAAATCCTGTAAAACATAGCGCAGTTAAGTGCACCTTCAGTTCTGAGTCGAGTTTCCATTTTTCCGTGCTTTTCTTAGCTGATCGTCCTAACGGTTCCCTTGCTACTTTCACTTATGTAAAATTAGAGCCCTCAGCAAAAGCATCATGAATAATTGACACTGAGAATAGCATGCTGTTGAGCACCATGGCAGCAGCGATCTGCTTGCTTTCTGACACTTTGAAGCCTTTGTTTCACTCCATTAATGAAGGTTTAACTACATAAAAGCTTTATACTGTGAGTTAAAGACACACATACTCCATTTCAGAGTAACAGAATAGTTTTTTTAAAAAATGGAAATCACTGGAAAGCAGCATCCCTACTGCAGTTGAGTTACAGTCCTGTCTCACAAAGTGCTCTTTTGTTACGTGCTTTGCAGGCTCTGCGCCTCCAGGTGGCTGGATCTCAGACATTTGCACTAGGCCCAAACACCCAGGGTTTGCATCCCTTATTTCATCTTGGTCCTGTTATATGTTACTTCTGACTACCAGGATGTTGTGCTATTTTAAAACTGCTGTGTGGTGAAAACTTGATAGATTTGGAAATAGCAACTTATATAATTAGCAACTTGAAGGCAGCAGTCCTTGCTAGGGGGCAGTTCCCACTGTACAGACTGTGGCTTTCTTATGAGTTTTATGCATTGGGCTAGATAAATAATTTAAATGGTTTCTCTAACTCTTTTGTAATCCTTGGCCCGGTTTCATTCATGGCCCACTGGATATCCAAAAGGTGTATGACTTCTACAAAATTGTCTGAAACCTCTTCTTAGTCCTCGCTCTGCTTGGCCCCTTTTTTTTCTTGTCAGGTAGTGTACACAAAGCCTTACTTTGAATTGTTATTTAAGGTGATTGTTTTTCTTCCTGAATACATTTCCCATCTCTCTTTCTTTCTTTCTCTTCTCCCCTCAGGTTTCTTATCCATCCCAAAAATTGGCTTGGTACCGCTTTCGGAACTCAGACCATCTGGTAGCCATCACAGCCTCCTGTTGAGATCATGGAAACTGGTTCCGCCATGCTGCTGCTGCCACTGCCTCCCTCAGCTGCACATGTCACATTTCAGCACCATGCGGCGGTGGGCATAAAGCCCATTGGCACTAACACAGCAAAGCAACGGAGGAGCACAGGTAAGAGGGTCCTGGAAAAATTATAAGGCCCCAATCCAGCCACAGTCAAGTACTTCTGGTTTCACTGAAATCATTTTCACTGATTTCAGTTCCAGAGCTGAGCACGTGCTTTAACTCTCGCTCAGACACATTTGTACATGCATACGCAGAGAGAGAGAAATTGGTGGGAATTAAAAGCTCTTATCTTCGACTGGATTGCTCCCCATTTAAATCCTGTCCCATTTTATTTGGAAACAATCTGCTTCAATAGACTGGGTATAAGGAATTATTCCGTATGAGAAAAAGGATAGAGGGTCTTCTCTGTGGGCCTGGCTTTCAGACTGTAAACTCAACTAGCCTCTCTGAATCCTATCTTGACCTCACAGAGCTAGACCAAAGCAGCCTGGCTCTACTTGTTCAGAACTATGAAAGGCCCCTTCTTACAGGCAAGGGAAGGTGGAAGAGATTGAAGACATCAGGGTTTGCCTCAGACTTTAGTAGTCCCTCTGCCCCCAACACTGATTTGAAGTTTTGCCAAGATTTGCTATAACCCCTGCCACCCTTAGGCCCCCCACCCCACCCCAAACTGCTGCTACCAGTTGACTTCTCCTGGACATCCTCACCGAAGTGTAGGGTGACACTGCTTGGGTCCCATCCACTGCAGGTAACCACTATGTTGTAAAGGTAAAGGACCACTGACAGGTAAGTCCAGTCGCAGACGACTCTGGGCTTGCAGCGCTCATCTCGCTTTACAGGCTGAGGGAGCCAGCATTTGTCCACAGACAGCTTTCCGGGTCGTGTGGCCAGCATGACTAAACCTCTTCTGGTGCAACAGAACACTGAAACCAGAGCAGCGCACAGAAACACTGTTTACTTTCCCGCCAGAGCAGTACCTATTAATCTACTTGCACTTTTTTGCATGCTTTCAAACTGCTAGGTTGACAGGAGCTGGTACTGAGCAACGGGAGCTCCCCCCGTCGCGGGGATTCGAACTGCCGACCTTCTGATCGGCAAGCCCAAGAGCCACTCATCTGGTGCCAGCTTACTTGGAGGAGTTTGTCAAGACGCATTTGGACAGGATACCTACCACATGATGGGTTCCCACTCCAGGTGGTTGTTGATGATGGTCAGGCAAATACCATTACCCTTGATCCCTTCTAAAATTAACCAAGATGACACTAGACTTACTTTTGCATATTACAGTGTAAGAGGTTTTAACATTGGCACTATAACTCATGAGATGCATGCATGTATGTATTTAATATGCCTGGTATAAGAAATTTAAATAGCAGCCATGGGAGGGCTGGGGAGGGAGAATTCAAACATACACACACACACACACACACACACACGCGCACACACACACACACACACACACACTGGTGCAGCAGTCTTGATGGGGGAAGGAAATTCCCAATGCTGCTGCCCCCCCCCCCGGCAGACTGGAAGCTGCCATTGGCTGGTGATTTTTTTTTAAATGAAAGGTTGACAGCCCTGTTTATGGCCATATAATTATAATTTTTTATGAAGCTTCTGATCCTGGCAGTTGTTATCCTTTGGGGTTGTATATCTCTCCTACCTTAAAACTGTCATTTTTCCTATTACATAACAAAAATAGCTGGCTTGGTGCCTTTTGAGGAGAGACTGTTGAGGTGTTTATTACCATCAGTCCCCCTCTCCCAAAGTGCAAGGGCGTTGTTCACTCAGCACTGAAACTGCTGGGAATGGAGGTGGGGGAAGAGTATCGGCTTTCCTACTTTGGAATAGATCTCTGATGGACTCCGTACGTGCCGCTTTGGTTTATTAAGCAACATTTTAACCAGTTAAAATAAATTTACAAGCATTTATAAAATCCCAAAAGTAATTGGTTTTCACCCTTGAGCAAAAACATTTCATAACAGGCACATTAAGCATTAATGTAACCAAACCTTTTTATTGTTGACAACCACAGGACAATCATGTGTAAGACTAACAGTTTGTAGTTAATATTTATGATGGAGCTTATGACTCACCTGTGGAGCAATTAAGTGCTGCTCTTAAAGACTGAGGTTTAGGGTTTTTTTACACACACAAGAAGTATTTTCTGCATGCCCGTGTGAATCTCCTGCAACTTTAGTACATTCTTGCTTTAAACACTGATCTTTCTAAACATTGTACATTATTCTGCTGAACGGATAACAGACATGTTAATTATTGTTGAGTTTATACTTCTAAAGACCGTTGTATGTCTGGGTCAGACCGGATAATATCAGTACATCAAAACAGCACATTAAACCCCAAATTATCAGATCAGCTGAGGTCAGCAGATGAGACATACACACACACCTGTGGGTGACAGTACACATTATCAAAAAATGTGAGAGTGGCAACCCCATGTCAAGACCCATGTATCAAACAACAACATGTTAACAAACTGGGTGTCCTTGAGACTTTCCCTGTCCCAGCCCTACATCATTGGCGCCTGCCGGCAGTGGCAGTGAAATGCTCCGCATAAAGTTTCTCAGGATACTAGTAAGTCATATTTCATGATTTCATATTGGGGTAGCCCATACGCTGTCTTGCAATGTTGCTGGACTCTTTCCACCATTCCTGTCCCTGGACCTGATGGGATTTTGACTCCAACAACATGTTTCTAAGCTCTGGGATGGAATTTGGCAGAGGACTGTTATTTTTTATCTAGCCCAGAGTTTCTGATAACATGTAATTCTGCCTTGCATAATGCCACACAAATGGTTCTTCATGTTTTCAGAGGGTTTGGTCCTTACAGATTAGGTCAGGCTGACATGGAGTCAGGGTGGTGTAGTGGTTAGAGAGTTGAACTAGGACTGAGAAGGCCAAAAAACCAAAGCGCCATTTGGCCATGAAGCTCACGAGGTGACTTTGGGCCACCCACATTTTCTCAATCTAACTACTTCACAGAATTGTTGTGGAGATAAAATGAGAGCTGAAAACTATGTACACCTTGAGCTTCCTGGAGGAAGGGTGGAATCTAAATGCAACAGATAAATACCATACACATCTGGGAATTAATGAATCATTAGAGCAATCACTGCATTTTCATAAAGAAAGATGGGATCTTTTGACACCTTTTGTTTGATGAATTGTGTTGGCACAGTAGCATGCCTTGATAGTTGCATTGAAGATGCCTTTATTAAGCAGTAGAGCACAAGCTTTGCACGCAGAAGGACCCAGATTCAGCCCATGCTGTCTCCAGTTAAAGGGTATCAAGCAGCAGTACGTGGAAAGACTCTGAGATCTTCCAGAGCAGATGCCAAAATGGGAAGATAGAGGTAGGCAAAATGGAGCTTTAATGTATGCATTAGTTTTGGCCCAGTATGGTTCTGGCATCTCTTTCAGATGCTGAACATAGTCTTTAAAGCTTGCTTCTATATGAATTAATAAAATAAATTCAGGGTGACTTGTGTGGGGTGCCATCTCGGTTGGGGCATCACAGTGTTCAGAAAATTATCAGGCCCCCTGGCTGATATATTATTAAGAATGGGCTTTGTGTAGCCTCCAGTAGGTGAACACCCACTGACCAAGCCTGGTGGTGCCTGGCCAGACCCCAGCAGCTCCATGCCCTGTGCATAGAATGCAGGATATTAACCCATGTTAGTCATACATACATACATACTTTAAGTTAAATGTCAGGTTATAAATAATAAAGATTCACTACCTGGATTACTACCAACAATAAAAGCTAAAGTATGATTGTTATAAATGTGGAATTTGTAGAATATTCCTAAAAGATTGTATTGTGTCTAAACTAGTAATGCACTGATTAGCAACACCATTAATTTTTCCTCCCTCTAGAGATCTTTTTTGTCTTGCAGGTTACTATAATTCAACCCAGGGATTTGTTGGACCTCATCTGCATCAGAGTGAGACTGTCCTTTGGGGTGAGGTAGTAGGTTGTATAGTTTTAGGGTTATACCCTGCCTGTCAGATAACTATACAATCTACTGTCTTTCCTGAAGTGGCTGTGATAGCGGCACAGGACGTTCCATCACCGTATCAGGAAACAACATCTGTTACTGATGCATACGAATGTATGGGACAGGAGAGCGGAACCTTAAAGTATTTGAATCAGCCCATCCATTGACCTCGTTGAGCCAAGGACATGATTCAAGGGCCTAACACACCAACCAAATAATGTCCTCTTACTGAGTTGTACTTGATAAGGGTAGCCTCTGTGTCTAGGTGTACACATTTTGACTAACCAAACAGTATGGTCTTCTTTAAAATGTTTTGCAAAAAAAATAACTCTTGTGGAATAGAGCATCTTTCTTTAGTACAGTAGTTCCATAGGAAGTTTGCACAGATCACAATATCCTCCAAATGTAAATTACAGCACTACTTGGCCACTACAGGTTTCTAGTTGAGACAGGAATAGACCCATTTGGCAGGTGGCAGTGAAGAAGAGGAGAGGGCCCATTTGGTTATCAGAGGGTGCTGCGATGTGGCAGCAGAGGTAAAGTATAGACCAAGACCACATGGTAGGAAAATCCCACACAATAGACCTGGAGTGGTGACTCATGAGTGGAAGCAGAAGGCATTGCAAGGCTGCTGCTAATCCTGAGGAGTGACTAGGAGGTGGGGAAAGGGCTGGTGGACATAGGAAGGAGAGCATGAGGCCAGTGCCGTACTGCAACACCTGGAGAATGGCCAGCAGCACTAAATACAGGTATAGCCTAGTGGAATGAGCACCATCATCCCCTCTTTGGCTCTGTTAGATTCCTTGAACAGCAACCCCTGGTTGTCACCCAGTGGAAATGGCAGCCTTGCCTTTCACTCCAAATACATTTATGCATCACCACATGCAAGACTCTCTCTCTTAATTGTGGAAGCAAAAGCCAAGAAGTAGCTGTGTTCTATCAACGCCACCCAGTGCTTTGGCAGGATGAGGTAGTAGGTTGTGTGGTTTCAGGGTAGTGATTTTGCCCCAATCAGGAGATAACTATACAACCTACTGCCTTCCCTGAGGAGCAGCTTTGCAGCTTGCCCAGAAAACCCATTTCACTTTCAAGTAGACAATCCATGCAACAGTCCTCCCAAAGTATCTTGAGAACTGTATGATTATGCTGGGAATTCTGTGTTGGAGAACCACTACCCCCACCTAAAAATGCAGTCCCCAAGGACAATATGACTTTTAAGCCAGCTTCAATCTATGAAATGGGACAGTATGAATTAGAGAAGATGTTATGGTCATCTCCAGAGTAAACCTATATGTGAAAATAGTATTATTTGGGATTTTGTATTCAGAGTTTATATAATTTTATGCCTGTCAATTAATTCATATTTTAGAAAAAGATCTTATTTATCTCATAAGTTCAATAAAATGTTTTGGGCTGTAACAAATTTGCCTTAAGTGTCAATTGAGTGGAGTAAAATTGTTATGTCCTGAAGAGTAACACTTTGACCCTCCTATTCAGCATATTTGCAAGACCTCCACTTGGCTTACAAACAGCTGCAGTGGGTGTCACTAAGTTGTCAGGCAAGGAATGTCCAGGGTGAGGATTTAACTCTTTACTGTCAAAAGTACACTTACAAGTTTGGAAAAGGCATGTCCACCCATCCTGCGTCTCTCAGCTCTCCATAGATGTGCACCCAATGATGCAGTTGCAGGAACGGAGAGACCCAGCTCCCAACCTCAGCTTATGTTTCTTCCCCACCTGAGCTGTGCACAAGCTTCAGTCCTCTTTTGCTCCCTCTTACTGAGGTTGGAAAAATAAGGCTCCTCTCATTTAACCCCGTGAAGCAGCCCATGATGCCATCTCTTTCAATGCTGATGACCACAGGCAGTCACACTTTAAGCACAAGTGATTCAGGTCCTACCAGACCCTTGTGGTGTGTTTTTACAGGAGGCCGAGCCATAAGAGATCTTTCGTTTCTGAAACTAACTTAGTGAATGCATGTCCTCAGGTACATAAGCCTACAAGCCATGTTTTACAGAAATGGAATAACTGCTTGGGTTATCAGCTTCACATCTGCGCATAAACCTACATATGTAAATACTAGTAACTGAGTTTGCCAAATGGTGGTTGCAGAAAGTGGGAGGGTGGTGGGTGGGAATGCCACAGGTTTGCAAGCAGCACTCAAATTCATTTCTAATAGTCTGTGAGGGAAAAGGTACTTGCCTCACAACCTCCTTTGAGGCTTGTCGATTTACCAGGTGTGAAATCTGGATCAGTTCCTGGAAATTTTGCCTGTCTCTAATGGAAAGCTTGGGAAGAGCTTTAGTAACCTTATAGCAAGTTATTTAACTGGTTGGGAGGTGAGAAGGGGGGGGGAGAGAATGGCCCATTGCCCACCATCAAATCTGGTATCTATTATTACTGTTTATTAAAGGTGCAAGATTTTATCCAGGCCTGCCCAGCTTGGGACCCACCAAGCAGCATACAGATCACCCATTATGTGTGGCAACTGAACTTACTGTTTTTCCTGTTTGCAAGAGAATGCTGTTAAACATCAGTCAAACCACAATACTTTGCTGTGTTGCTGGAATTGTCTTGGTGGGTCATAGGTTGATCAAGTCTACAATGGGAAACATTTTAATGGCTCTCATCCAGCCAATGGAGCTACCTCTTTGCCTTTCCCTCCCACCAGGGCACAATGAAGGAAGCACAACCTGTGACCTATCAAAGCACACATAATCCACCATCATAGTAGAACAGGATCTTGACAAACCTCATTTTTATGTCTGTCAGAGACTACAAAAATAGGGGAGTTGCAAAGCCTTTGGCAGGCCACAAAGGATGGCTTGTGTTCAGCTTGGTGGGTTTCCCAGATGGAGGGACAAACAAACTGCTTGGCGCTGGCCACCCCCCCACCCCTGCCTTGCTAGAAGAACTCCCCTTTTAACCAACAGATTCCTTGTAAGTAGCTCCCTCCAGTCTTTGCCAAGCATTAGAAAACAACATTTATTGTGATCCTGCTATCTTGGAGCATTAAGTATCAGCAACAAAGTTTCTCTCGGTTGTTTCTGACAATCAGCCACAGAGTATTCAGATAAAATTGTCAGGATTGGAATTTGGATTCCCTGTAGGCATTCAAATAGCAGCAAATGAAACCAGCAGCAGAGTCTCTGAAAGAAGAAATGCATTAAGAAGAGACATCAAACATCAGCAGGAGAATATGTGGAATTTCAAAGTATTCATTTACAGCAGAAATATCCTATTTGCATTATGATGCATTATTTATTGAAAAGCACTTTGAGTCTCTGTGAGAAAAGTGAGTGTAAAAGCTTTCTCAATAAATACAAATAAATATACATTTTCCATCACGGTCTGTGTTGGAGGGATCCAAACAGGTGATACCAATGCATAACCAGAGCAATGGCAGCATTCTTTGATACAATAGGCAAAACATGGGGCGACATAGGTTCTGAATGTTGGCCCACCAAACCCATGCTCATATGCTATTTTTTGGAAAACCTCCTTTACTCTGGTGGATTTCTCTTGTGACTAGGCAGGGGAAATTCACTGCTATCTGAGCAGGCAACAGTCTTAACCACCACTTAACTGGAAGTAAGCCCCAACGAACTCAGCTGGGCTTGTTTCTGAGAAGACATGCTTAGGCTGGCACTGTAAGTAAGCTGAGTGGCATCTTCCCAGTGAGAAATGCAAGGAGGCTCCTTTCACTTCTCTGCGGGCACAGAACAAGTCAGTCCATGATGCTCCCCTCTTCCACCAGCTGACTGTTCTGAAGACTCGCTCAGAATTTCAAACAGGAGGATTCTATTTGAAGAGAATGGATGAATGGAAGCAAAGAGCTTTCATAAACATTGCACAAAATGAGGTGATAGACCAGAGTGGTAGAATTCTGGGATGTGCAACTTCAAACTGCAGGGAACACATTTCTGAATGCACCTGTATATAAAGCACATACACAAACTCCCAACAAGCTGAAAACTTGCAGAGATATGTTAAACATTTCTCCCACAATAAGTTAGATGGCTACATGCAGGGACTGTTTTATGTAAAGATGCATAAGAAAAGCAAACCCCCTATTTGCAGTCCAGAATTCTACTCCATTCTGCATAATCCGTAGAACAGCTGTAAGTCTACCTCCCTAATGAGCCTGTGGGAAAGGAGTTGAATATGAAAACCCATTTTTTTTCTGAATCAGCTGAAAGTTTACAACAGCTGATCTATTAGTACCCATCTGTAATGAACACTTGGAAGAATGAGTAACACATGCTGTGTTTAAAATCAACATCTTGAAACAACAATACCTATCTTTGGTTATCCCTTAGCTAGAACTATTCTCACACAAAGCAGTGGTCATCACATCTACAATATTGATGCTACTTTTTGTTAATAAGGCACACCTGAGTCCCTCAAATTCTATCCCATACTGTCAACATCAGGGGCCAGCAAACTTCTTCAGCAGGGGGCCGGTCCAGTGTCCCTCAGACCTTGTGGGGGGCTGGACTATATTTTTTTTGGGGGGGGGAATCTGAACGAATTCCTATGCCCCACAAATAACCCAGAGATGCATTTTAAATAGAAGCACACCTTCTACTCATGTAAAAACACGCTAATCCCAAGACCGTCCATCGGCTGGATTTAGAAGCCAATTGGGCTGAATCCGGCCCCCGGGCCTTAGTTTGCCTACCCATGCTTAACATTGTCACACAGGGATGCGTACCTCCTGTCCACAGGCCAGATGGGACATGACAGCTGGCTCAGTGTGGCCTGCTGGACTCTTGCCCCAGACCATGGCCCTAACTGGCTTCACTCCCTGCTTTTCTTCATGTTCTGTGATTGCCAACAAAGGAGAGCATGTTATCTCTGCTTCGGCAGCACAGTCTGATTCCATAACTGGCTTCTGCAAGAGTGAAAACACTTTCTCTGCCAGTATGGAAGCCAATTGTGCTGGCAAAGTAAGGAGAAAGTGCTCTGCTTCGTCAGGCCAGTCAGGCTGGCAAAGACGGGCACCTGATCCCTGCTCGGTCGGCCCACTGGTTGCAAAGAGGCAGAAGAGGCTTCCTCTGCAAGTACAGATGCCAATCAAGCTTGCAAGACAGGGACAGAGAGAGCACTGCTCCAGCAGCACAATATATCTGGCCAGTGGGGAAGAGAGCCCTCTATTCTTGGCCAACTCACCGGGTTTCTGTGCTGTGTGCTTTTTCAGGTGCAGTGTGTGAGAGAGAAGGTGTCTGTGTTTGCGGGGGTTTGGTCCCACACACTTGGGGCCTGGCCACTCTCTACCCAATGGAATGTGGCCCCAGCAATAGGAATAAATTATATCACTATTGGCCCCACCCCATGCAGGAACAGAGTTGGTTTTCAATGCCTGAGTTAAACTTCACTAACAAGGGGGATAGATCCACCATACCTGTGAGGGTTTTACACCACTTTTTAAAGTAAGTGTTTGTAGATCAAATTATTTTAAGCAATTTTCTTTGCAGCTATTTTTGCCCGACTTTCTTAAATAACTCATTTGTTTTGGTACAAAGTAATGGCCAGGTCACATGTAGAAAAGGTTATATACAAGTATGCATATATGTTAAAAGAAGTAGTGCTTCTTTACTCTGGGAGCATACAGTGAAGCGTAGGTAAGAAATAAAATAAAATAGTAGTAGCATGCACATCCACTTACTATTAAAGGTAAAGGGACCCCTGACCATTAAGTCCAGTCGCGGTTGCGGCACTCATCTCACTTTACTGGCCAAGGGAGCCGGCGTTTGTCCACAGACAGCTTCCGGGTCGTGTGGCCAGCATGACTAAGCCGCTTCTGGCGAACCAGAGCAGTGCATGGAAACGCCGTTTACCTCCCCGCCGGAGCGGTACCTATTTATCTACTTGCACTTTGACGTGCTTTCAAACTGCGAGGTTGGCAGGAGCAGGGACCGAGCAACGGGAGCTCACCCCGTCAGGGGGATTTGAACCGCCGAATTTCTGATTGGCAAACCCTAGGCTCTGTGGTTTAACCCACAGCGCCACCCATGTCCCTTACTTACTATTACGCCCTGTCTAATCTGTACCACTTTAGACTGCATATAGGGTTCACATTTAGAATTTCCTTCCTGCTACAACTAAAAATTTCTCCACATAGAAAACTAGCATGTCAGGAAGACAGTCTATAGCCTAATATCATATGGAGGAGTATCCCAAATCAGAATATTTATCTTTTGTAAACCACTCTGAGGTATTTTTTCAATCAAGCAGTGGATATATCTTATGAAATTAAATAAATATATCAATATATCAATGTATCTCACAGCAAGCTGGCTTAAGGTGAACTGCATCCAAGAGTATTAAAAGAACTGGCAGATGTGATCTC